CACCTGAGGATGACCACTTTGTGGTCGAAACGCGTTGTGCTATTAAAATAAAAGTTTGGTGTGACGGGCTAATCGTGTTTTTGTTCATCGTTTCCATACCAAGAAGATCCAAGAAGAAGAAGTAGATAGTAAGTATATGTTTTCATATTTTATGTTTCTCATTCAATGCCGCCAGTTGCTACCCGTTCGCTTCACGAATGGGAAATAGTTTTTTTTTTAATTTTTACAATAACAATTTAACGTTTTTAAATTTCCAAATGGAAGAAAACAAGAAGCGCTCAAAAAATTTTACATCTAGGGAAGAAAATATTCTGGTGGGATTAATAAAACAATATAGTAATATTGTGGAGTGCAAGGCATCAGATACAAAAACAAATTTGGAAAAATCTCGTTGTTGGGATCGTATCGTGGAAGAGTTTAATAGTCTAGCAGGAGAAATATACCGAACCAAAGATGTTTTAAAGAAAAAATTTAAAAACATGAAAAAAAGAGTAAAGAAGAAACATGCCGATGAGAAGTGTTTTTCAAAAGGAACAGGTGGTGGCCCATCAAAAACTTTGAGTACACAGAGGCTGAAAGTGAAATTAGGGAACTATTAGGAACGCGGGTTGAAGGGTTTCCATCAGAATTTGGATCTGATTCTAGAAGTAAAATAATAAGTATGGAGTAAATCAAAATACTAAAATAAATAACAATTCTATTTCAGCTACCAATAAGACTGATAATAACAATGATTCCGAAATGTCAAATACCCAACTGCAACAAGCTGACCTGGTAGTTGGAGAAGTAATAAGTAAGTAAATGTATAATTAATCAGGTATAATTTAAAGTTGATTTTGTATTTTTCGTAGCTATCAGCGGTATTAATTATGAAAATTCATTAACATTTCCTCTGAATGAAATCACAGAAGCTTCTGCTAGTAATGATGGTACGTATTTCTGTCTCAAAAACATAGTAAACATAAGTTAATACATTATTAACATTTTAGATGTTGCTATAACCGACTGGCCAACTTATTGCCCAAAAATGTTGAAAAGGAAAAAAAAAATGTTGCCCTTGATGTTAAAAGCAACAAAAGTGATTACTATTTACCGTTTATAGCTTTTTTAGTGTTTCCTTTCTTATGATTCTCTTTTTAAAATTAGTATTGTGTAAAATTTCTTATTAGTTATTAATGAAACAAAATTTTCATAGAAAAGAAAGGATTACGATGAGAATGTTAATCAAAAGTTGGGCCAGTGGGTCAATGCTAAATCTGTTTTGGAGGAGTCAATATTAAAAATGTTAGAAGAAGAACACAGTTTAAAATTAAAACAGATGATGGAAAAACATGAAAAAGAATTAACATTAATTGAAAAAAAAAACTGAACTAGAAATGAAATTTTTAGAAGAAGAGCATAAAGTCAAAATGGATATATTAAATATTCAAAAAAGAAAATGTTTGTAACCGTGTTTATTATATTAAAAATTTTATTATATAAAAAATTATAATAATCTATTAAAATAATCATGAATTAATTGATGTCGAACCGAATTATTTACTCCCCCAATATTATTTTCTCGAACAATTTCATTGCCAACATCGTTTACAAATTGTACTGCAGCTTCTTCTTCTGGGTTTATTGGTGGAAGTTCTTCGTTTAGCAAACAAGCCATGTTGTGAAGCACTGCAGTAGCCACCACAATTGCTTCTACTTTATGTCTTTGAAGCCTTATTCCAAATGCAAGTGCAGGGAAACGCCTTTTCCATATCCCAAAGCACCTTTCAATAGGATTACGTGTTCTAATTTGGCATTCGTTAAATAAATTTTCTGCTCTGGTTGCAGTTGCGCCCAATGGTGTTATTAGGAATGGCCTTACAGCATAACCACTATCACCCACCAGAACGTAGTTTTCAAAGTCTCTATTTTCAAACTTCTGTCGGATGGACGAATTATTAAATATTGTACTATCGTGGGCGGAACCTGGCCATCGACAAACAATGTCTTGGATTTTCGCATGTGTATCGCATATTGCCTGGACATTCATTGAAAAAAACCCTTTTCTATTTCTAAAAATTTCAGCTTGATCTCCACCTGGCGACATTATTTTAATATGAGTGCAGTCTAATGCACCAATGCATTTTGGAAATCGAGCGGTGTTGTAAAATTCTTTGCTGTTACATTGCATCTCTTGATTTGTGTTTGGTAACTTAATAAAAATGGTTTCTAATCTAGCAATAGCCCAGCTAACCCTATGCCCTATGCCAGAGAAATTTGCAACAACTTGCAAAAACGAGCCTGTGGCGTAAAATCTTAATGTTACAACATAAGTTCCGCTGAGACAGCGTTGTTTCTAAAACAAACATTAACCATAAATTAAAATAATGGAAATCTCACAAACAACTTTAGTTTTTGATAATACTAGAACTCACTTACCTTTGAGTTGGATGTGCAATTTCTTCTGAAATGCGATCCAACACAAAACGTACTCCATTTTTCGACAAACGGAATCTTTTAATAAATTCCTTATCATTCCATTTGGTGAAATGATTTTCCCGAAGTCGAAAAACTTTTCGAGCTCTTTTACGACGCGTAATGTTTAATAGTTCAACTATATCTTCATTGTCCGTCAAAACACCAACTAATAATTGTTCCATTATTTTTTTAATCGGATGTAGCAAGTATATTGACAATTGAACTATGCTTGAGCTACACCTAAACGTCCAAATGTCACCGCTTAAATAATTTTGTACTTAAACTAAGCTTAGCTGATAAGCATCATTTGTACAATCAGAAAAGGGTAAGTTTTTGAGTTTAGGGCAAGTTTAAAATGAGCGTAAGCTTAAGCGCGCAATGTACAATTGGGCCTAATTGTTCCCAAACAAAATAACAAAAATCTAATCTAAGAGGAAAGTCAGCATCTCGTAGTTCTTGCACTATCTGCATGCGATAGGGATGAAATTTATTACTTTTTAAACTTCTAGAAACAGAAGATTGGCTTATTCCCACCAGAATGTTGTTTAATTACGGTACCTTTAAGGGAAGGAAACGGTACGAATTTACGTTTCCTTATTTGCTGATAGAAGTACCACTTATTAACATTGAATTGCCAAAACTTTGACTACCTTTCTATTGAGCTGTTTACAATTATGCGGATTCGTAACGATTATAGTACCGTAATGTTTTAACCCTACCAAAATTAATTTTAATTTGTTACCGAACTGTTTATCAATGATAATCAACTCTCGACTGATCTGTTCCTTTCCTTGTTCAATGTTTCTCCCAATGGCTTGATCTTTTGACCCTTCGTGAACTGTTATCTCGTTTGCACCCTCACTTGTTAATTTATCTTATCGCGATTTCTTTGCTTATTAGTATACTGAGTAAAAAAAAATTTGTAGTTCAAATTAACAAATGTCCTTGCGATTCATTTCTTATTTATTATAACCTGGTGTGTCACTAGTCTGTATGTTACGGTAAAACCAAAGAATTATTATCCGAAAATTGACGAACAGTACTCGTACGAAAGCAACTAAACTTTACCCTGATCTAAACACGTCGTTATTTGCATTTATCATTTCCAAAAGTAATTGTTAATCCTTCTGACTGCGCCAATTCATCTGTGGCGGGTGTTTAAGACTCTTTGATAAAAGTCGAATTCTTTTACGGTCCGAGCGGGTTACGCCACAAGAAGAATAATATTTATTTGAGGTAGGATCTCCAGCGTTATTTTGTGGAGCCAATTACTTTGGGAAGATGAAGGATTTAAGCAGTCAGAAATCCAAGTAATTAAATTAACGATAACAATTTATTAAAGAAATTAAAGTTTAGAAAATATTATAAAATAAAACTAAATAAAATAGAAGACAATCAATTAAAATAAAAGAGTAAACATTTTACTATTCCGTTAATGTTTAAATTCACCAAATTCAAGAAACTACTGATTAGCATAAAGTAATAGTTTAGTGTCAAACAACTAACTTAATTCAAGTCCTACTAGCTACGTCCAATACAAGTTAACTTATTCTTATTGAATAAGCTTTTAATTAACATTAAATAATATTGAGTGAATTAACCATTATTACTAAATTAGAATGCAAGAGGAGAAATCGTTCAAGGAAAGAACCAGTCATTAAACAGCCCGAAACCATGTGGTTTTGAAGTAACTCTCGTATTACCCGATTACATGCCCAGTCCATCCCAACTCTCATAAATCTTATCATCGGTTATAGTTATTTAAATTGAAACACGAGTCGACCCATCATAAATTAAACTTTGAAAAATTACAAATGTTGTCATCGTCGGAGCAAGGAGAAATTAAACAGAATAAAACTCACAGTTTATCATCTGGGCAAATTTTGGTATCAGCAAATAGTTGATATCCTAAATACACTAAATACACTTCCGTCAAACGCTTTAACATGTAATGGTTTAACCAGTTACTTTGTTTGACGAGAATTATTTAGGCAATCCCTGAAATGACGTAAAATTTCAGTCAAATAAAGGAATATTCACGCATTATATATATGTATATGTAGTCATTGAGCGTAATGCGTCATTCCGTGGAAAGCCTAGTCTTTGGCCGGCAGACGCTGTAATCAAGTGAATATTCCTTTATTTGACTGAAATTTTACGTCATTTCAGGGATTGCCTAAATATTTCTATATCGCCCTTTTGAGCCGAGGTTGCCCTTTTTGCCCCCTTTTCCTAGTAAATGAGATTACTTGGAATTTTTAGATAATTTTTATGGTTTGTAATTAAATGAATTTTTTTTTATCTTAGCCGTATCCTGCTTCATTTTTGACCCTTACATCCTGGATAAACTCGTTATCACGGGGTTTTCAAGAATTTTGTTCTATTTTTGTAACAAATTGACATGTCCCAGACAGTTTATGGGTTTTGGTGATTCTTTGACCCTAGACAGTGTGGGATAGTTTGTTTATCAATTTGCTCCAGACTATTTATTGGGGTGACCACTTAGTTGGGGTGGCTGACTTGTAACCTTTGGGCGGATAAGCCGCTGATATGCTAATTTTGTTTCTGGGATTTTATACGCAAATATAATTTTATTTATTTAAAAAATAAAGATTTACATTTGGGTTAGATAGTTATTTTTATTCTTTACAAATTTACAAGAGCATTAACATATTACAATAACTCTTTATTATTTCTTCAAAACTTTGAATAAAAAACACTAGGATTAATTATATTTTCTATTATTTTTCTATTTGGACCTTGGTTTTCAGCTCTGTTTGTCCTAACATTTTAAAAAGTGCAAGATTGTCACTTACCAATCTCAAGATTTTGAAGCCACATTAATGTACCTGTTTTATTACATTTATGGTCATATTAAAAAACTGTTCAGTTGAAAGTGTTTTATGAAAAAAGTATCCAACGGGAACAGTGTATTTAGTAGACAATCCATGAATAACGAAGCACAACAGTTTATTGGCTAAAATGGGCTTTTTTCTTATTATTTGGTTCTCAGTATTTGCAATGCCGTAAAATGAATCTTCTGTTCGACTATACTCCATTTTTTTCTTTAATGGCCATGTCATCTACAATAAGAGAACATATTTTCTCAACGTCTTTTAAATTATTGCCTTCAGCAGTTATTCTGTTTTTAATTAAATTAGTCAAGCCAGGATCGTCTTGGTAATTTCCCATATATCTGTCTAAAGTCTTCTGGATGGAGCTTTTAAAAACTGACTTCTTCTCGCAAATTCGTAACCTTTTGAAGAAATGTACCTCCAGGCAATACAATGACGTACTGTAACTTCAGACCATCTTGGGTTTTTTAGGGAATAATTATAAATTTGATGAAGTAAAAACACAGCCCTTGGTTCTAAGTCCTTTGCATCTGACTCAATTTTCACTACACAATGTTGACCTTTACTGTAATTGTCAATTTTTTCCTGCATTCTTTTTAGTTTTTCAAGTTTATTTTCATACAGCTTATTCAACTTTTGAAATCTTACATTTACTTCCTGTAACTTTTTTTCTAAATTTTGAATTTTATCTAGTAAGACAAATTTTTTTACCGAACTTATTGCATCTGAAACATTTTTTAAATCCAAATCATGAGTATCACCTACTTTTAAATTGCTTTGTTGATCAAAATCATATCGAAATGGTCTTGAAATTAAATAATTTTTGTCAAATGAAAGATTGGAGACACGGTGCAGACGTTTCTAACGGCTTACGTTCTGAATTAATGGAAATGGTAGAAATTACCTGAAAACGAGTAATTCTTTTATAATTCAAGAGCAAGGATGAAACTGCATTTGGTAGTAATTTTTTTGTTTTTATAATAGCTCGTTATTTCAAAGTGTTTTCCACAAATCACGGAATTTGGGGGTATATTGCCGATGGTACGAAATATTTTCTTAAGCCATTCCTTTTTTTGATTTCTACTTTTTGGAAATTGATGTAAAATAACACCCTCTTTCTCCGCTTGCCCACAGTTTGGAACCCAGCAAGTTCGGATTCTTGGCATTTTAAAAATTATAATGTAACGTCTGAAAGATATTGATACTGCGCTTCTTAAGCTGAAAAAATGTATTAGTTGTGTGACAGATCAATATTTTATTAAATGTGTCAACAATTGTGACATTTAATTTCCTGCAAATTTTTAAATTTCACAAATTACAGTTTTCTTTGGAGCGTAACGCGCGCGTCATCTACCGGAATTTACGATTTTGACAAGTTCACGATTTTGGCCTATTGCCCAGACTTTATTTACTGTCAATCAACGCAGACGATGGTTTTTTTCTCGGCAGTTTTGAAACTTTGAGACGTCGTCTGCGTTGACGTTTCATTTGACGCTTTGAAATATTTACTTATCAAATGGACGACACATTCTTTGATTCTCGATATTTTGAAAATTTAATTTTGAATCAAGGAATAAGTGCATAATGTAATATGAGTTGTCAAGAGGAGTCAGGTGGGTCATTTAAGCTGAATCACTCTGTATTCCCGCTTTAAATGAATTAATAGATATTTTTTTATTGACATTTTTTTTCATACAATAAAAATTCCACTATGACAGCGACAAAAGTTTGCCCTAACAGGAACTCTAGCCCTAACTACAGTGCGATCAAAAAGTCTGTTTATCAAGCAAGCGTAGAAATTTAAAACGTAAAACATGACTGGGCGTTTAGAGAGCTTACGAGGTACCTCATCAACAATACAGTCAGAAACTCATGTTTACAATAATTGTACATTTAATATTTATAATAAATAGTTGTAGACTTGAATGTGTAGTTTTATTCATGAAATAGTCCCCCGAATACCATTCGTGGTAAAATTTGGTCTGGCAAAATTTTTCAATTGATTTACTCGAGTTTTTGTTAAGATGAGACAGTGGTAGCGCAGAGCGCCGCCACCTGTCGGTGTGTGGAGAATCCAGACCTCTAAACACCGGGGGCTGGGAATTTGCAAAGCAAATCTCCCAAAAACGCCCACCGGGAGAGGTAAACCGACATCAGCCAAAACAGCTACTCCTCGGGCAAATACCCCGCCAGGCGCTGAATTACATGACCAATGCCGGCTCCCCCACATCAACTGGACAATTATGCCCAAATCTTGATGTGAAAAAGAGGCACAACATCATACATCGAGCAA